TGACCAACAAAAAAAAAAAGATTTTACACACAACTATGAAGTGATATAACTAAAATCAAAGTAACATATTAATATCTCAAATGTACTGCATTCGAGCGGTTCCGGAATTTCGCCATTGGTGAAATTCTGACCGCCCGAATTCGACATGTGTAAGATAATAAAGAAATTACTAGAAACTCAGAAGGATCAGTACTAGATGAACATATATCTTTAGTCAATAGTAGTAGCGTAGCCAATGGGAAAACTAGGGAGTCGAAGCTATGGTAGATAAACTCTATTACAAAATAAGACAATAGAAATAATTTTCAGCTCAGATAATATCGAAGTGTTATGTCAGAAAATAAACTCATGTCGAAGTTGACTTTAGAATGTGAACTAGCAAAATACTTATTTATATAGTAAATATGAGAAAACGTCACAGAATGCATGTACGAACAAGACAATATGTTTTTTTTGAAGATGCAGGATAACTAAGTTATCTCATTGATCGTGATTCAATGAAGTTCTAGTCTATAAGTGAAATTTGTCATGATTTTTCATTATTATCAATAATAGTTAAAGATAATCAAGTTTATCAAGTCAAATTGATTACATTATTTATTCGTTCTTATGAAAAATTCAAGAACAAGCAAAAACCATGAAAATTTATATTTTCTCATTGTCTACCTGTTGATATTGATAACATTTTAAATCTTGTATCTTGATGTTTCACTGCTTTGCTCATCTATCTTTTTCATTTCTGTTAGATAACATGTGATAAGATTTATTAACATGATGATTGTAAATGTGAGTGTGAGTGTTCTTCTACACTCCCTCACTGTCGTCTGACGCTCAACATTCTTAGATAGTTATCTAGCTTAGAGTAGAATACTTCCTTCATTATTAAACATAATAATGGTACGACAAGTATTATAAAACTCTTGGTTAAATTCACATCGAAAACTTTTCGCCTATTGAAAATAATTTATTATGGATTATTGCATAGCAATTTTACGTTTCTATATATTCTAAATTCAACTAAAGAGTGTGCACCGAAAGTTTCTCGACAAAATATTTGATCATTTTTTGCATGTTTAAATGTATCGAAAAAACGAGTGAGAAGTAGCGTATGTCACAAAAATCGGATCACTTTTATCGGTAAACCGCCGGTTTTAATTGATACTACGATTTGTTATAAATTTCACTGGTAATTTTTTCGGTGAACTATAGAAAACGAATGGATGCAGAACGAAGAAACCATGTATACATACATGTGCATGTCTGTTGCATCACTTATTTCGTTTACTTGTTTGTTTAGAGAAAAAAATGAATATATTGAAGTTTTTAATATTTATTTTTTTTTTAGACTAATTCTTTTATATTTATGTTTTAAGATTAGTTTTTTTTTGCATTGATTTGTATTTTTTTTTGTTTTTGGTTGAAATAAAAATTAGGTTAATTGAAAAATAACTATCAAATTTAACTACAAATATTAACGAAACAAAGAATCAAACGGTGTTAGTTAACCGCGGTAAACTGACGGTTTTTTTGTGGCATATCTAGAACAAGTTTCATTTGAAGTTTTCTCCTCCAGAAAAAAAAAGTTTTGAGTCGTCTTTTCAAGATTCATTTACAGTTCAATAGTTAAAAGTCAAAAAATCCGAATACATTATTTCTCATTCTTTTCTCCAATGCATTTAAATACATGAATAATAGCCAGTATATATATATATATATATTGTCGAGAAACTTTTGTTTTCAATAATCAGATCTCAAAATTACAGACTAAAATTTAAAATAATCAAATATTTACCAATTCATCATAATATTCATTGACTAATGGTTTTTTACCAGATACAACTTCTGGATCATTTGAAAATAATTTTAAATGATAATAAATAATTACCTAAAATAAATCAATTGAATATTCGTTAAGTAGATAAGAATAAAATAATTCCGATCATGACTAAAGTCAACACTTTTTCCTTGGAAACAATATCTTCTATGGTTGTGTAAAGCTTATATGAAATATCATATTCTCACAGTTCATGTGTTCTAAAAGTTTCTATGCAAATCATTGTCTAATGATCAGTTCAATATGTACTATTACAATTCTGATAATAAAATTAATTCTTATTTTTTTTTTCGTGAAGTATTAATGATAAATATCCAAAAGAGATCATTGACACTGCTAGAAAATGATATCGCAATTTTTCACTGGTATATGTCTTAGACCAGAATATTTTTCTGACTGAAATCTGGTTCCGCTGACCACTATCTAACTTTTTTGTTTATCTAAAATAAATATAAATACCGGTTTTTCATTTGGATCAGAGAAAAAAATTATTATCTGTGTTTCAAATTCTCCCCAACCAGTTTCTTCGATTTCAAATGGTGGTTGATTTATTACTAAAAAATAAAAATCTTTGTTTGTTTTTTTTTTCCTTGAAATATAAACTATTTATTATTTATTTACCTCGAATATTATTCGGATATGTTTCATGTAAACGAAATTGTATTC